CTGTTCATGTACCACCTTTTCAGGTTGCCTGTTATTTCTACAATTCATGCTTGTGGGTTTTTTTAAAATCTAGTCTTCAGGTCTTACCCTAAAAAAAGAAATCTTGCAAATGTGTAATCAAGGCAGTTTTGCTTAAGAGTTTTCCCTCTCTACTTGGTCAAGATTTTACTGGTGATGCTGATAATTATACAACGTCTATGTAGACAGTCCTATTCCAGAAAGAGTGCTTTTTCTTGATTTAGTTTTAAACCTCTCCCCGTGACATAAGCTAAACTGAGAATAAGGGAAGAAAACTTCCCTCCCCAAGAAGAAGCGATTATGCTAGTACACCAATGTGAATTCATACTTTAAATGACATTAAAAAGATATATATTTCTTGCCTCTACAAGGCTCAAGTCTGGACTCATTCTGAGACTTGTGAACTGACTTTCCCAATTCACGGCAATAGTGTTGATTCTAAAATGCATCAATCACAATTTAATAGTCAAATTTTGCAGTGCTTGCATCTCATGTAATTTATTACAAACTCTTTCTAATCTGCTGTGTGTAATAGCAGCAAAAATCCACTAAACTAGTTAAAGAAGTGATAATTTAACTTCTGAGCACAGAGTTGGTCAGCTAGCTCATACTTCCTGTTGTAACTCTTTGAGAGCTTTCGTGTATGTATAGTATGTTGCTGTTTACCCATTAGTATAGCACCATAAATTTACTCCCCTATTGAAACAGGTGCATCCACTCAAACTGCTGACAGTCTGAATAGAGATCAACACAAAACACAGGCCTGTTATCCAGGAGAGAGAGTGTAAAGGATTATTCATGGTAAGAATGGAAGAGATTGTTTTGAAAAGGTGGGCTGTAAGGAGGGATTTCGATGAGGAAGAGGGAGGGTACTTGCCAAAGAAACGCAGGGAGAGCGCTGCAGATGCACAGAGTGGTGTGATAAGGTAGGAAGAGATGAATGTAGAGTCAACATAGGGTGCAATAAGAACCAGGGAGAGGTAGAGAGATGCAAAAAGGAAAGCTTGATGTGGTGAAAGCAGGAGAGAAGGAAATGATTTAATCACTGGGAATGTTTCAGTTTTGCAGATCCAGAGCTGAGTGGCCTGGAGGCCAGATAGGAGGTGGTTCCCAAAATGGCACCGTAACTATAGAAAGCTTGTCCAGAGGGAGTTATACTGGTAATAGCTAAGGTGTGACTATAAGCTAGCCTAGTTATACCAGACTCACCTCCTATGCAAACACTTATTCATATCTCAGAGTGAATTTTTTCTAAATTAATTTTTATCATTTGTGATGGGGTAGAAGCTAAATAAAAGAAAACCCCACATACTGAAATGAGGCTTTGCCTGCAGAGGGTCACTGGGTAAAATGAAGTTGAATGTGTTAAGTCAAAGTGCATGAATTAGTGCATGTAAATTCCTGTGTAAGTGCTGTCATTCAGGTCTAAAATGCCTTTGGCTCACTGTGGCTGAATCGTTCAAGAAGGGCTGAACAGAAACATCTACACAAGGTTTTAATGAATTTTGAACTGCATGTGTCTGCTTCGCACCTTTAGTGGATCTGTCTCAACTGTCCTGGGCATCTCTGTAAAGGCAAACCCTGGCTGTCCCCATAACGTAACATACCAGCATAATGTTATTATTTTAACTGGTGAGAGAAGCTCTGTATATTCCCTTTGGTGGAGAAAAGTGCTAAGTAATACTAGTAACCTGAAGAAGGGCCAACTTAGACTGCCTGAAGATTTGATCTTTTAGGACTTAGTATTTGTTTAATTTGATTTAGGATCAGGTTTGTTTAAATTGATTGCCAATTAACTTAGGTAGCAAATGTATTTGTAAAGCCTAGCCTGTGAATTCTGCAAATTCCAGGGTAGAAACCAAATGGCTCAAAGTGAAAAGTTTTATAGACACATCCAAATAGAAGCTTGTATCTTTTATAAAACATCTCTCCAGCAGCAGACTACTTAACTCCTATTCTCACCAAGGCACCAGACCTTGCTTCAAGTGTAGATGCCAGCTGGGCTTCCTTATCACCAAAGACCACACCATCACTGGACCAAATGGATTATAGCACTGGATGTTCATTTGCCTGTTCCTCTACCATCATCTGCTTACGGTGCCCCTCCACTGTTTACATTGGACAGATGGGGCAATCCCTGTGTGCAGGAATGAATAAACATCAATCTGATATTTGCTCAAGAAAAACACACAAGCCTGTGGCAGAACACTTTAACCTCCCTAGATAGTCCCTTGCTGACCAACAAGTAGCTGCCTTTAGACAACAGAACTTTAACAATTAACTTGAATAGGAAATTGTGGAAGAAAAAAAATCATCCACATATTTGATTGTATATCTTATGGTCTAAACAAAGACTATGGATTCTTATCTCATTATCTGGATCAGCTTTTCTACGCCATCTGTTCCTCAGTGAGCTTACTGCTGTTTTTGTCTCTTACCCACCTTGCCTTTGATAGCAATGTACCCTTTTTTTTCCTCCCTTCCCTACCCTTTGTATTCTAATCACTGCTTTCTATGAAGCTCTGCTTCCTACAGTCCTTTCACAGCATGATGAAGTTAAGCTTTTGCCTACAAAATCCTGTGCATCTCTGATTTGGTTAGTCTGCAAGGCAAAACTCTACCTGGCTAACTCTACCTGCCTTCTGCCTAATAGGCCCTTCTACATGATAGAGTTATTGAGCAATTAACCAGCTAATTGCACAACTGCCTTGAGACCAGCTACACATGGAAAGTACCTATCATGCCATAAAAAGTTCCAGTTGCCTATAAAGTTAGACCTCAAAAATGTATGCTAACTTTTTAGCTAGTTGTTATCAAGCTTTATTTTGCACCTGTGGCAAGGTCTCCCCTGCAGTTGGGGAGCCCTGTTAGATCAGGGTCGGGCAATTTTTTGGGCGGAGGGCCACTTACTGAGTTTTGGCAAGACATTGAGGGCTGCATGACAGGCAGTCAGGGCAGATAATATTAGTTTTCTAAATTTTTTAGGGGCCCCGTGGGCCAGATAGAACGGCCTGACAGGCCGCATCTGGCCTACAAACTGCATTTTGCCCACCCGTGTGTTAGATGAAAGAGCTCCCAGCCAGTTGTGCACCATGCCCTGCCAGGGCTCCAAGTCCCATACCTGAGAGGACTCTCAGCCCCTGCAGCTGCCAACTCTGGGTCCTGGCACTACCCTGTAGCTGCCTGGACCCAGAGACCCCAAGGTGGGGAGAGAGCAACACCTGCCATCTCCCAGCCCTGGGTGTTTCATGCACCCCTGAAGCTGGGAGAACAGGGCAGCTGTGATCTTGCTAGTGCAGGGGAAGCCCAGCATCAGATGCCCCCTGTACTGGCAGCAAGGTATGATGAGGCTATTAGGTGCTTGTAGCATGGCAGGAACCATGATCATCTGGATTGCACATTAGATCCCGTTGTGCCTTTACCTGCACATGTAGAGGGGCCTGAACAATGAGCTCCCCAAGGTGGTCTCTCCCCTTTTCTGTCTGCTGTGCCTAGTCAGCCCCCCCTGCTTTTGACTAGTCGAGCTCCTAGAAATTCCCTCCCCAACAAGCTGTGTACTTGTTACCTCATCATTGCTAGCTTCCTGCACTAGCTGATATCAGAACTACCTGAAGGGGAAGAGCAGGTTATCCGAGTAATACAGGGTCAAGTGGAGCATTAAAATGAACCAGGGCTTCAACCTAAAGTCTGCCTCTTAACCCCCTGGTGAAAGCGACCACCTGGATCTGCCTTGCATTCAGATTCCCTTCCTCACTCCTACGGGGCTGCTCTGTATTTGTCTAGACGTGCGCCTACATGGTCGGTTTTACCAGCATGGCTAAGGCCGTGCACGGTCCAACTTGCAGTCTCTCTGCCGGTCGACCAGGCCCCCTCTGTCCCCTGTCCCGATGCCAGAGCCTGGGGCCAGGACAGGCGCGGTGGAGCGGTCCGTGCCCCGTGTACGAGCCGGACACCCGGGAGGCTGCTGGTCCCCCCTCCTGTGGCCTGTCCCTGGTGGCAAGCCCGGCTCGGGGCGCGTCGCTGCCGGGG